TATGAAATAATAACTTTTTATATTAAATACTGTATTTATATTAAATAATAACTTTTTATATTCAATAATGTATTTATATTAAATAATAACTTTTTATATTCAATAATAGGTCTGTTTTCTGTGGCTGAACTAGTATACACTTTTAGAACTTAAAGTGAGATAGGTATATGTTTGATATTTGTAGAAAGCGAGAAAGAGAGTTCTAGTTCAGTCTAGTGCAGGAACAGAAAACAGACCAATTGTATGCGAAACAAAAGAATAAAAGATATGTATACTAAAAAGAAGGTCGTTATAGATTTATGGTTGAGGGATTTTTTGAACGCGCAAGGATAAAATTTCGGGATATTCCATTTTTAAATGTGTCAATACTGGTTCCACGTCAGAGATACTTGCTTAGCGTATTGCCGGACGAGTGTCTCCGGCGGTGGCAGCTACCACCTCCTCGAGTCCGGTGATATGGCCCGGACATAGCTTCACTCCGATGCCTTCGGAGTGGCTATCAAGGCAGTGCCGCTGCCGGTTATTGTTTCTCTCCTTCCTTCTTTCTCACTCTCTCATAATGAATGTGTCCGACGACGGTCTCGGACGGTGTCTAGCAAACACCACTTAGAGCGTTCGATGAAAGTCTCGAACGACGCCTAGCGCATATTTCTTACGGGGCCTGATGACGGCTCAGGCGAAGGCCCGTTTCTCCTTCACAAGTTCACCGGAGTGTGGGTTAACATAACCCCCCTCCCCCCGTTTTGAATACATTGTTTCAGAAGCGGATTTCCGATGCCACGCCGAAGGAACCAAACACGTGAGCGTCGCAAAATGAGAGTCACAACTGTTCGCCCACTCGAAATAGACTTTGTATATATATATATATATATATGCATATGCATAATATTAACTGTTTATTAATGATTCTTAAGGACAGCACATAGCTGTGTTCACATAATCTTAACCTTATTTACTGATTTTTATTATTAAGTGAGATAAATTCCATATTTTCACAAGTCCGTAAAGAATTTCTTGCTAATAAATTAATGAGTTTAAAAGAGTTTGCTGTGAACGATTTACGCCATATGCGATCTTTCTGGTATCGATCCTATTCCGACTTAATCAAACTGTAAGTCTTGTCACGTATGCCACTCTTCGTATCAAATGTTTGCGTACGTGCGATCCCCGTTAAATTAATAACTTTTGATCTTGTTGAAAATGATATAACCTTTATTGATGACTACAAGAATACGTCCTTTATCCAAAAGAAAAACTGAGACCACATGTCTCCCTTTTTAACGAACGAAAACTTAAACTTAACTTAACTGACTAAACGATAATCTAGCGCCACCGACAATCTGTGTACATCAGCGCCGCCCGCTCTAAGCGCCATACATCTAGCGCCATCGACTCTAAACGTAATACAATGCATGCTGGCGCCAAGAAAATTAAAACAAGGCGCGAAATCTAAACATTCTGCCTCCTTGAACTATCTAGTTCAACCAATTATTATGATTCCTCGATAATAGGAAGCAGAGCAACATTTTTTACAGTGCGTTTGTAATTTCCAGTTGTTGTTTTAACACTAATGACTCTAACTACACCATCTTGACCAGGATGAAGTTCGGTGATTCGACCTAAAGGCCAATATAATGGAGGAACCTTATCTTCTCGCAATATAACTAAATCGCCTATCTTAACGTTATTTGTACTTGATCTCCATTTTGTACGCTGTGTTAATTCATTGAGGTACTCCTTACTCCAACGATTCCAGAAATCACGTTTGATCTTCTGAATGTGTTGCCACTGAGACAATCTGTTTATTTGAGTATCTGTAAAATCAACTTCTGGAATTGATGAGAGTAGTCCTCCAATCAAAAAATGACTCGGAGTCAATGCATTTAGATCATCTGGACACGATGACAATGGCGTTAATGGCCTAGAATTAAGGACTGCCTCTATCTCAATAGTAAGTGTGTTAAACTGCTCAAAGGTAAAAAGAGTATCTTTCGTTACGCGATGTAAATGATGTTTGAAAGACCGCACAGCAGCCTCCCAAATCCCTCCAAAATGAGGAGACCGTGGTGGAATAAATCTCCAAACAATTTCTTGTTCGCTTAACCAATTTGTTATCGTATCCTTATGTTCCTTTGTATTTATAAAATCATATAGTTCACGCAATTTATTTTTAGCGCCGACAAAATTCGTAGCATTATCAGATAAAATAAGGTTTGATTTACCTCTCCTACTGAAAAATCGTTTTAATGTGGCTAGAAATGACTCTGTAGTTAAATCGCTAACTAACTCTAAATGAACTGCTTTAGATGATAAACATATAAAAACGCTAACATAAACTTTGATTTTACCGCGGTTGCGATGCATTTTTTCCTTTATCAAAAAAGGGCCGCAATAATCGACACCAGAATTTGCAAACGGTCGGGAACACACAAACCGGTCCCTTGGAAGATCGCCCATGGTATATTCCAGCAAACGCGGTCTTGCCTCAAAACAAGCTACACATTTACGGATAATCCTTTTAACTTGATTTTTTCCATTAATGGGCCAAAATTTTTGTCGAATACAATACAGAGTTGCTTGCGGTCCTGCATGTAGTTGCAGTTTATGAGTATGCTGTATAATCAAGTCTGTTACATGGTGCTTTTCTGGTAGAATGATTTGATGTTTTTGATCGTAACTTAAGTCTGAATACTTGAGTCTACCTCCAACTCGTAATATTCCAGCAGAATCTAGAAATGGGCGCAATGATATGAGTTTACTATTGCCCTTAAGATTGTTTCCTGTTTCTAATAAACGTATTTCATGTGAAAATGATTCACCTTGAACAAATTTGATTATAATAGACATTGCATGATCTAATTCAGAGCTGACTAAGTTCCCTTGAACCTTGTATTTTGAGCGACAATTACTAATGAATCTAAAACACCATGCCACAACCCTGCGAAGCACCACAATGGACGAGAACCGTTGCAACAATTCGAAATTTCTTTCCACCTTCAAGTTGATGGCTGCTCGCTGTTCAGGAATCTCAGCTAATGTAGGAGTAAAAGTTGGCCAATTTGATTCGTTTTCCGATAACCATGAAGGTCCATGAATCCACATTGTATGATTAATAAGCTGCGATGGAAAAGCACCTCTCGACAATAGATCAGCTGGATTATCGTGTGATGCTACATGCCTCCAATTAAATGATGCTGTAATCTCTTGGATAGCAGCTACACGATTAGCCACAAAGGTTTTCAAACGATATGGAGGTGTGTGAATCCAATGTAGAGCTATGGTTGAATCTGACCATAAAGTAACCTTGTTGATTGTTGTCTCAAAAGCCTTTAATACTGTTTGACAAGTCTGTGAGAGGAGGTGTGCTGCGCACAATTCTAATTTAGGCAATGAAAGTTTTTTCTTAAGTGGAGCTACTCTGGACTTAGAGCAGACCAATACTACACGATGTGACAGTGCTGCGTTTGTAGATCTCATGTAGATACATGCTCCGTAAGCAACCTCGCTAGCATCAGCGAATCCATGAAGTTGCAGTTCCACTGCTCCTGCTAAACAGATGTGTCTAGGAAATGCAATGTTTTTTAAGTCAGACATGCTATCCTTAAGTGTTCTCCACGCTGTATGAATTTCCATTGGAACTGTTTCATCCCAAGTTAATTGTAGTTTCCATATATTCTGAAGTAATATCTTGGCCTTAACAATGACTGGCCCTATCAATCCAAGAGGATCGTAATAAGATGCTGTTTGTGATAAAACAACTCGTTTGGTTATCTTAGATACTTCCTGATGCGTTGTCAGTCGGTACAAAAAACAATCTTGTTGTGGATTCCAGAGAATCCCTAATGTTTTGTGTGCCTCCATAAAATCGAAGCACCACTGCTCTTCTTGCTGCTCATTTGTTGGGGATTCAATGAGCTGAGAATGGTTAGAAGCCCATTTGCGTAGCTTAAAACCTCCGCTATTTAATAATTCTGTAATCTGAGTTTTCAATTTTATCGCTTGTTCAAGTGTTTCAGCTCCAGTTAATAGATCGTCGACATAGAAATCTCTCATGACGATATCTGCTGCCTCAGGATAATTTTGTTTTTCCTCCTTCGCTAATTGAATCAATGTACGCGTAGCCAGGTATGGTGCCGAGGACAATCCATACGTTATCGTGTTGAGCTCATAACTTCGAATGATTTCTTGAGAATTATTTCTCCACAAGATCCTCTGATGTAAACGATCTTCTGGATGTATGAGTACTTGTCTGTACATCTTCTGAATGTCTGCTGTAAAAACTATATAGTGCAAACGAAATCTTAGCACAATAGACAGAAGGTCCTGTTGAACTGTTGGACCACTAAATAATGTGTCATTCAATGAGATGCCACTAGTGGTTTTAGCTGACGCGTCAAAAACTACTCTGAGTCTGGTTGTAGTACTGGATTCCTTTATAACAGAATGATGAGGAAGAAAATATCCTTCTTTCTTGTTTACTTCCTTGACCTCAGTCATGTGTCCAAGAGCTTCATATTCCCGAAGGAAACTTCGGTAATCCTCGTATAATTCAGGCCTTGCGTTTAATCTTCTTTCTAAACTTAGCAATCGTCTTAACGCTATCTCATATGACTCGCCTAATTTCTTCCTTTGATTATTGAAAGGTAATCTTACTGAAAAACGTCCAGAAGATAATCTCTTGAAAGTTTCCTTATAATGTTGTTCACATTTCTCATCTTCCGGTGATAATATCCGTTTAGCTGGTAGCTCTTCTATTTCCCAGAATCTTTGCACAGCATCGTCCAGTGTACCTCGAGAGATATGGCATAAACTAGTTGTTAGAGGTTCAAGAGAATTAATCTTGCCAGAAACTATCCAACCGAACTTCGTTTTTTGTAATATAGTTGAACAAGAATTTAATTTAATCTGTCCTATACATAGTAACTGATAGAAGTATTCAGCGCCAATAAGCATATCAATATGCGACGGTCGATCAAATCCAGGATCTGCTAACCTTACATTTTTAGGAATGCCAAGTGATTCACGATCAATTGTCCTTGACGGTAAAAAATCTGTTAACTTACGAATAACTAAACAATTCAGCTTAAGTGTGAATGCATCAATTCTGGATTTGACGATAACATTTGTCGACAACTTAATTTGTGAAAGTGTTTCTCCAATTCCCTTGACGGGAACATTTACATTGGTTTTGAATAATTTCAACTTATCACAACATTGTTCCGCAATAAAATTCGATTGAGATCCCGAATCTAAAACTACTCTACATGAGTGGAATTTTCCTGTAACATCAGCGATATCTACTACGGCTGTAGATAATAAAATGTGTGAAGTGTCACTCAATTGTGAACTTAAAATCTGGTTAACTGGTTTAGAATCTTGAGTCTTGTTTTGCTCTTCCTGATAAGCATTCTCTCCGCTTGCTGTATGAGTATCCTTTGAATTAAGCGGGTGTAATAAAGTATGATGCCTACGATCACACTTCCTGCAACTACTTGCTTTACATGCGGAAACCTTGTGATTTGCTCTGAAACAATTAAAGCACAAACCTGCCTTCTTTATAGCATCTGATTTCTCACCTTGACTCATAGCCTGGAACTCTTCGCAGTTTTGTATGTTGTGATTCTTTCCACAAACATGACACTTAACCTTACTCTGTGTTTCAAGTAACGCCTGCTTTGGTTTACTTGATGTTACCTTATTCGCATTTAATTGCTTTTGATTCGCTGCATTCGCAGCATCCTTGGGTATCGCTTCTAAAACATGACATCTATTACGCAAGAATTTTAAGTATTATTCTAATGTGGGTATCTCTGAGCCATCTAGAGATTTCTCCCATTCCATCTGTGTTTTCTTGTCTACCTTTGAACTTATCAAATGTAAGAGTAATGCATCCCAGCCAATCACTGGCTGCTCTAAAGCCTGCAAAGAATGTATGTGTTTAAGTGCAGTGTCGATCAAAGTACTCAAACCCAGTGAAGACTCTTTAGTTACAACTTGCAAATCGAATAATGCTCTAACGTGATTTTGAATGATAATGCGTTTATTGCTATATCTCTCTTTTAATAAGTTCCATGCGATTTCATAATTCTCTGCAGTTGAAGTTAATGACTGAATAATGTGAGCTGCGTTGCCCACCAAGCATGATTTCAAATAATTGAACTGTTGTACTGTCTGAATTTTTACGTTACTGTGAACTAAAACATTGAATGTGTCTTCAAAACTTAACCACTCCTCGTATTTGCCATCAAATTTCGACAAGTTTATAGTGGGAAGCTTAATACCACTGTTATTTGACGTTAAGTTTGATAATTGAGTCAGCATTGCTTGCATATCTGTATTAGGCTGAGCATCAATGGTCGAAGCTACACTGTTTCTTCCAGAATCTAATTGCTTTTGCGCCCTTGCTATGGCCTCGTAATAACTGTCCTCAAATAGTTGTCTAGATGCGTCATCATTGGCATTTTCAGCTAATTCGATTGCCATATGCACTTCTTCAAATTCTGCGAGCAGAAGATTTGCCCTTTCAAGACGAACCTTTAAGACATAATAATCGCGATCGTGTACATAATCGTCTAAGAAAGTTTTAAATCTCGTGAGAGATGCTTTAACTAGACCGCGACGCTTCTTTAACCTGCTCAACTCGTTTTCAGCCATTGTGTATTATTTCTGAAAATGCCTCGTAATGACGCTGACTTCTATACTAACCTTAATGGTGTATCTTATTTGCCTTACTGTATTTCTCAAAGTATCTAAACGTTTCACCTTAATGTGGTAATCACGTTAAAGGTTATGCTTGCTAGAACGTGTATCCGTAGCTCTATATCCGATGTATCCGTTGTTCGTTATTCGTTGTATCCTGTGTCCGTTATATCCTGACTCGAAGGACCAAAAAATGTTCCGACTTAACCAAACTGTAAGTCTTGCCACGTATGCCACTCTTCGTATCAAATGTTTGCGTACGTGCGATCCCCGTTAAATTAATAACTTTTGATCTTGTTGAAAATGATATAACCTTTATTGATGACTACAAGAATACGTCCTTTATCCAAAAGAAAAACTGAGACCACATGTCTCCCTTTTTAACGAACGAAAACTTAAACTTAACTTAACTGACTAAACGATAATCTAGCGCCACCGACAATCTGTGTACATCAGCGCCGCCCGCTCTAAGCGCCATACATCTAGCGCCATCGACTCTAAACGTAATACAATGCATGCTGGCGCCAAGAAAATTAAAACAAGGCGCGAAATCTAAACAGATCCTGTTAATAATTTCAATTAATGAATTTTCTACTGTCAATGATTTTATATGCAACACAGATTTCTTTATCGATTACACGCATAAAGCCTAATTGTCTTGTATACATTCCTACTTGAATAATGATTACTTCTCTTGAAGAATTTAACTGTTTATTGTATACTTCTGTTGAAATATAATTATTTGTCACTGCGACTGATGTTTAGTCTATTTTGGTCGACGCTGGCGCTCGCCGAATCCGAACCTTCCTTATGTAATTGAACAAAATGCTTCTTTTTCTTCTTACCGTTTTATTACACGAACAAAAAAATTCGTTTTAAATAATTGTAATAGAAAGAACCTTGGCGTCACAGCACCAAGCTTGGCTTCCGAAAAAAATACCCTGGCGCCGCTAGACCCCCCAAAAAAGTACCTTGGCGCCGTCAGAGCCCGCCAGGACTCGATTACACTACTGAAAGTTCTATTATATGAAAAAGGTCAAGTATTAAAATTCCCTTTTAAAATTGGAGGTAACTTTAATGCCTCCACTTTGACAAAAAACAACATGGTTAAAACATATCCCCCTTGAAATTGTTCCACTTTCATCTGAAACATTTTCCTTGTATCATGAAAAATAAGCGTGTTGTCTATTTTAGACGCCTCACCCAGTCCTAGTGAGGAATATCAATGGCATCGACATCAAATTAACGTCAATTTGATGTCGATTCCATTGTCATTTCTTACTGGAGTATATGTACCGTACACATAATATATAAATTTATATCTTAAAAGTAAATATTAGCATGTTATCCATAAAAAATAAAATAATTAAAGTATCAAATCAAAACATACTGAACATTGTTTATTAATATTTCTTTCGTTTTCAAATTATTGTTTTTATGTGTCATAGATATAACGTTCAATGGTATATAGCTCCTTTACATATACAAAGGATTATACTCATTTTGTTACAAAGAGGTGTTAAAACTTTTACTTTGAGTGTCGGTGGGTTGTTTATTGGATCATTGGAATGTTGTGCAACGGTAAGAAAATAATATATTACGTATGTAAGAATATATTTGAAGTAACATTTATTATACATATAAGTAAATATATTATATACAATGTATATACATATATACTCTAATAATATCATTTTTTGTAGATGGTGAAAGCTTCGGTGTCATACTTTACTGTTATATATTCTACACGATAACAAGTCAAATATAAGATCAGATTAAATAAAAGTATAATAAATGTAGATGATAAAAAATTAATAACACGTTTCTAATATGATTATACATGTTTTTAGAAATAAGAAAGGCTACGATTTGAGTACATATATTTATATGAGTTGTGACGTGACACTTTTTGTCAGTCACTTTTGACGGAATTTACGCGGAGATCCTGGGTCCTCTAAGCGCGAAGGACGATGGATCCGTACGGTGGATGGGGCAGCAGCTCGTAGCCCAATTCGACCAATTTGGCCGTGGCACCGACCGATATTGCTCTTTTTCCATTTTTCTAAAATCCGCGGACACGCCCGCTTCCACACGCGGTCAAAACAAAACTACGAGTCCGATTCGGCTGAAATTTTGACAGTAGCCGTCTACGAGAATGTACTACACGTTAGTAAATTTCTCTTGCGATAGAAAAGCCATCGGGCGTTGAGGCTAAGTACTTATCGGACCACCCTCGTACATATATATATTTTATTATTAATGTCAACACTCATTGCGTTTTTGCACAAAACCTCAAACTCTTATTATTAGAACCGAATAAATACAGCAGCAAACTGCAAATGATTACAAGCTATTGCAAGCTGCAAGTCCTGCAAGTTAGAACCAGTGATGCAAACTCGTCCGCTTGCGGACAATAAAGAGTCTCTACTTGCAGGACATCAACAGCGTCATTCATCAGTACGGAACAGACTGGCGTAATAAAACATAACCAATGATGCGAATATCTATAATACTTACAACACGCGATCAGTGCCACCGAAGGCGCTGATCACGTGCTGCAAGCCGGCCGGAATTCGTATCTTTGATTCCTTGTGGCTCGTATTGGGTCTGACACTTAACTTTAAAAAAATTAATAAAAAGTTATTAGTTACTGATAAAATGAAACTAAATAAAGTTAAAAAGTTAGGAGTCTAAAATGTAACTGTTATGTTTGTGTATTGAAAGGGGACGGAAATAATTACGAAGCACATTTTTACTTGTAATACTTTTTCTAATTTTATCTATTTGACTAAATTTGACGGTTTAAGTAAAGTTTTTGTTATAATCAAGATATATTCTGTAGTTTTCTTATGAGATAAATTAAAAATAATCAATATAACTTGTTAAATAAAAAAATAATGTAAAGCATTACTAGTAAAAACTGGTAACTTTTACGGAATTACGGCTCCATGGGACATAAGAAGATAAAATACACGTAACGTTACGGACGCAATCCCCAGTAACTTTTTCGGACATCCGGTGCGGATTACGGATTGCGGGCTGTATGTGACGGCACCCTTAGAGACCTAAAAAACAGAGATGCGTCATTGAATTCGGATACTCTTCTATGGAAGGGGGAGAGGTAGGGAAATTCCCTTTGAGACCTTACGAGAGATTTTCACCGATACCGAGTTAGAATGATTGATGGTACTTGGTGAAGAATTAGATCCGTTTCAAGGTTGTGTGCTCTCAGTTTCAGCACAAGAGACAGGGCTTTGAGATTTGAGTGAGCTTGAAGATTTTAGAGATTTAGAAGAGTTAGAAGATTTAGAAGAATTGGAGATTCGTGCACTGTTAGCGCAGGGAGAAGATTCGATTGGTCTAGAAATGTTAGTTAGATTTTTGTTAGAGCTAGTGGCCTTATGCCGTTGCATGAAGTTCTTAGAGTCAGCGATACGATTCAACTGATTTTGAGGGGTTAAGTCTTTGTTAATTGAACTGGATTTAGAAGTGTTAAATGAATTATTAACCTCTGATAATGTACCTTGAGTAGAGTTAGATAATATGTGAGACTGCGGAGTAGCGTAATTAAGTGAGCTAGGAGTTGGAGAAGATTCGATGGAATTGTCATGGCAATTTGAGATTGCTGCAACCTCATGCAGTTGCAGGGTGGGTATCATGACTTCTACCCCGTCTGCGAGAGTATTAACTACTCTTATATACGCCTTGTCATTGACGCATGTGATGAGAGCGTCGCCAGCGTAAATGCCGTCATAAGAAAGTAAGCGAGGAAGATATCCGGTCTTAATTTCCGGATTTGAGATCCTTATCATAATGCCAAAATTTATTCGTGGCGGAATTATCACCGATTCTCTTTCCTTAAATTGGAACGAACAATTATTCCAAGTGATAATTTTATGTTTATAATTGATACTAGCGTCGTGCTCCGTAAAGAAGGAGGATCCCAATATTCCTTGCGGAATGATAGGGAAGTTATCAGGAACGACATGGAAGGTCACGATCGTGTGATAAAGGTGGATCTTGACAGTATACTGACGGCATCCTCTGTAATGCCTGTCAGATGAAGAATCTCCTTATCGTTAATAATTACCGTGTCGTCGAGGCAATCTCTTTTTATTGTATTAGGCTGTGCCCCTGTGTCGAGCATAAAAGCTACGGGGCTTCTAAAATCAGAGGATACGAGCTCGACGACGAGTATGTGTCCGTCGTCTCCACAGAGGATGTGGACGGATCGAGAATCGTGTCTACTGGATGGGCGGGACGAAAACCCGCCGGACCCCGGAGCGTTTCGGCGGCCGAGGCCTCTGGACGGTTTCCCGTCGGTGGTACAGAAGCAGATTGATTAGGGCTATCGAACTTGGTTGCATTAAACCGGTTCTGATTATATAGTCGCTTTTGACATTAATTTATCAAGTGGCCTATCTTTTTACAATAGTTGCTGATTTTCTGCCCGACGAGGCTGGGGCCGACGATCGGAGCGGGCTGATTATTTATCAGTGAGGGGCCTTGGGAGGGGGTGGAGCGAGCGGGGGCCGCCACGTGAGCCGCATCTTGCGCTTGATTATTGCGCGAGCTGGCGGGTCCGCGATATCGCGAGTCCTCCCTTTCAAGTCTCTTGTGAATTGCAATGACCTTGGAACAAGCTTCAGAAAAATTGCTGTATCCTTCGGCTCGTAGTTCGACGCGATATTCGCGTGGGAGTCCCTCGAAAAAGGAATCGAGAGTAAACGAATCAATTGAAGATATTTCGACCTCGGTACAAGATCAATCGAAGATAACCTGATCGCCTTCGATGATCGCGGTACGTAGGTCCTTGATACGACCAATGTAGTCGAGAATATGCTGCTCTGAGGGCTTTTTGTACGCATTGCTCAATTGTCCTCGATAATAATTGGAATTTCTCCCCGGACCGAAAGTCCTTTTGAGGGTCCTCTAGAAATTTATCAACTGAGAGG